GGTGTAAACTGTCTCTGCTGTAAACTCTTTCTGGTGTAAACCTTTGTTGGCCTTGTCTGGTGTAAACGACGTCTGGTGTAAACCGTGTCTGGTGTATAGACGGTGTCTGGTGTAATCGATGTCTGGTGTAAACTCTTCTCTGGTGTAAACCTTTGTCGGCTTTGTCTGGTGTAAACTTTTCCATGGTTACTTCGTCTGGCGTAAACAACGTGTGGTGTAAACCGTGCCTGGCGACATGCACCATCATCATCATTATCATCATCATCATCATCATCACCTTCATCATCATCATCATCATCATCATCATCCTTATCATCCACATCATCATCATCATCATTATCATCATCATCGTCGTCAGCACCATCATCATCATCATTACCAGCAGCTACGTCATTGCAATCGTCATCGACCTCATCGTTAGCTCATGATCACAATAGCATATCACGGGCGTATCGTGAGATCATCATCTCATGGCACATCATATTTTCATATTTGATGTCACCAGCCACGAAGTTACAAGTATCGGCGAAAAGCTGTGAATTGGCTATTGCAAAGTGTCGTGACCAAACTGATTAGAAGGACCTGGGTCCACGACCGGAAGTTGTCCGAAGTCGACCCTTGTTCCAGCTGAACGTGCAGAGACTCCACAAGGCACGAGATCCACGACCGAGAGTTGTTCGAAGTCGATCCTGTTCCGACTGGGTGTGCAACTATATCTGATAACCGACAAAACAACATGAGTTGAACTGTGGGTAATTTGTTTTGTTTTTCAAGTGTTGCATTTGTATGAGCATTGGTTGTCCTGATGCCAGGTTGGGACGTGCGATTTCGCACACTTCGGCGGCTCTTACTACCGGGACTAGCGTTTGAGCTCGACCGGCGCTGGATAAAAAAGAATCGACCGGGACTACCGTTTGGGCTCCGAAGTACAGTGCAACAGAATATACATTAATAGATTTGGTAATAACGTGATAATAGTATCATAATCATAATGTATATATATATATATATAGATATATATATATATATTATATATTGTGTCATCTCATCATCATCTCATTTTGTTTCATCTTAATGTTTTGAATCATCATATATCATCTCTTCATTTCTTTAGTGCTCATTCATCTTCTGTTACTTCGCTTTTCTTCCCTTCTATTTGTTCTCTTCCGCCTACTTGCTTTCGGGCCACCCTGTCGTCTAGTAGACATTTTTTCATGGCTGTTGGTGGCCCAACAAGTGTTTTGAGAGCTCGCCACGGAAACGCCAAAACACTTCTTCATTGGTTGCCAATAGCATTGGTGTAGAACACGTGTTGCAAGCAAAAACGTCAACACAATGAGTCGACCAACCCTTGTCATCCCTTTCAACCTTTTTCTGGTGGTTTTGGTTTGTTGCAGCTTTGGTGTTTCTGGTGCTTTCGACTCTCCGAGGCAAGTGGGGCAAGAGAAGGCGATGTTCAACCATCTCATCAGTTTCTTTGCGGGGACCGCCTCTGATGACGAGAACGCGGACGTGGGCGAGATCAGCGCGAAAGCCGGATCATGTGATCACATGCAAGCAGAGCACTGTTGTTGACCGCCAATCATTCTTTGCTGGGAATTGGATAAGCCGTCCGCATGAGTCATTACAAAAGGCATTTGCAAACTTTTTATTACTGAGCAAAAAGGCAAACTACTCTCATCTCGTATTATCACGTTTTCTCCATGCAGAAAAACGTTCAGGTGACTTTAGGTCGTCATTTGTGGCATCTAGTAAGGACCATTCAATGATTTGGTGTGTTTTTGTGTTGGTTCGATCTTTGCCTTGCAGGCCTTCAGAGATAAGGTGGATGATCCGAAGTTCCGCTGCTACCTGTCTCTTTGCTCCAACTGGCTGCAGGTTTCTGGATTGGTGCCCTGAAAGATTTGAAGCACCTTAAGAATCTGTGGGTGGATTCTTTATTGGTGTTGATTTGATTTTGATGTATTGTGGGGTCGTCCAGCTGCAGCAGATTTGAACTTTTTTCAACCTAGCCACCAATGAGTTGTTTGGTCCCAAAGGTGTTTTGTGGTTAATAGATATGGAGCAATCATGTCCTTTTGATGCTTTGAGAGGTGCCCTGGGCCCTGGACCCAAGGTTTTCTTACTTTTGTCAAGCTACAACTCGGGTATTCTGGCGCATGGCAAGTTAAGTTCCAGTACCGAGGTCTGCTCACGGCATCGACATCAAAAATGTGACAGGGCGGCAGGGAAGATGGACGGCGGTTCCAAGAACTTTAACCTGCCGGGGTGAACCACTTATATAATGACAATGAAAGCACATGGAATGTAGGGGTACTTTCTTTTTGGTGTGGTACTCGGTAACTTGAGATATGGTTTGAGTTCTAGCAGTAGTTCTACTGTAGTCTATTTGCTAATTTTCCTCAACAAAAACTAGGAACCAAGGGTTTTCCTGTATCCCAGCTACTAGTAGCTTCCTAGGTCCTAGGTCTACTTATGTCTACTTACTCCTCAGTCCCGGCCTACCACTCTTGCCTTCAGGCAAAAAAGACGTGGTTGTGTTCGATTTCGGGTCTTCGCTGGGGATGTCCTCATCTCATTTTCATCCCTAATGGCCGCATCGAGGTCAAGACCTTCTTCAGCATGCTGCATCAGCAATGCGGGGAGGAGGTGCCACAGCATGGTGAAGTTGTGATGTAGTGATCAATCTTGCATCAATTCCTGAGGACTCACAGCCCTTCAAATCGTAACAAAGTGTATTTTTCAAGTTTCAAGATCATTCCTTCCAATCCCAAATCATCCTTTGTTTTGTGGGTTCACTGTTTCCCCATCCTAAATCCATGGGAATCCATTGAATCGGTTTCCCCTGTTCTTTGTAAAACACCTGTCGAGGTGTTTAGAGGGTGGGCTTTCCCAATAGAGTGGACATAACTTGGATCGATGCTACCCTAACAAACCCAGCATTTACTAGGTATCGGTATGAGCAATTGACCAGAGTTGGGCCCGTTTCATTCTGCGCGTGCGCGAGTGTTAAACATTGCTTCATGGCAGGGAGTGGATATCCGACGCTTGGCACATGCGTGCGTGAGGATGAAGGGGGTGGCCACTTGGCAGAACGGATAGGTTCGGGGGGAGTGCGGGTTTCGTTTGGATGGCCAGCGCTCAGAGGACTTGGAAGCTATCCATCCTCAACAAGGCTTGAAATTGACAGAGGGGGCAATTTGATTGAAGGATGGTTTGCTCATGAGGCTTGTTGATAGCTAATGCGAGATGGTGTGTGTGTGTATATATACATATATATATATATATTAGTTTTATAGATATATATATATATATTACACATACAGACGCAATCTGTATACAGGTGGACCAATTCTGCAAAACTGCCGACTTGCCCATCAATGGCCAAAGAAACACTCAGTCACTGAGCCTTTGGTCCGCACAACTTTTGATCCTGACTGGCTGCGGGCAGCACATGTTCATCCCCCTGGCCGATCGGCGCGCAGTTACCAAGGCCACCAGCATCGACTTGCAGTCTTTGAGCTTCGAAACAAGGCCACTTGGGCAGATCTGCCTAAATGGGGAGGTCTCAAAAGTGCATCTAAGAATGTATTCTCCTTGGAAGCAGTGAGTCTCCTATTCTGAAACACACCACATGAACATCACTGAGGCTCATGCACCGAAAAGAGCTGCAGATGATGAGAAGGCGAGGCAGATAAGAAGCCACCACTATCTACAGGAGGCCTGTGTGTAGATTGATAGAAATGGCTCAAAGTCCACACTATATCGTGGCCATCAAACTAGCATATATACAGTAGCCATGACCTGACAAAAGAACATGATAATTCAACATCTCAAACGCTAGAAATATTCTTCTTTAGAGCACATGTCGTTTGCATTCCGTCTGAGTACTGCTCACCAACTTGTAACTTGTAGCTCCACTGCCGTGGAGGATGGGGGAGCAGCTGCGCCGCACAACAGAAGCACTTGAACGGCAGCTAAGTTCAAGGCGGATTTTCTGTGGCTTCAAAAAAGGGGGCAAGAAGGACAGAATAGCTCAAACTTCCGGCACAAATATATATTCATCATGAGATGGTTGGTCCAACTTTCCAGAAATGATTTCTTTCCAGAAATGATTTCACAAGCTGGTTTGGGAGAAGGAGAACCTCCTTCATATTCCCACTAAGCCAGTATACTTCTTGTGGCAAGTTTCTTGGCGTACTGCTAGATGTTTAGAAAAATACATCTAAACTGGAAACATATTTTCTGCTGGGACCTAAGTCAAACACCGTTGATCCAGGAGACATGACCAGGGGTGCCAGATCAGCAATGGCGGAGGTCACATGAAACTGCAATGAGTGTAATGTAGGTCCTCCAATTCCACCATGGAACTTGTCACAGCTGGTCCGACGTTTTACCTCTACCAAGGGTTTTGTACATGTCTTGTACCAATCTTGTACCATTTTCGACCAATTAATCCATGCTAGTTTCAGGTATTACTTTGACCAGTCCCCAGCCTTCTTTGGATAGTGCCAGTCTTCTCTTTGTGGTCCCTAATGACAGTCCCGTCCGCCAAGGATGGCCGGCCAAGTCCACGTCCTGTAAGCGCGCTGGGCGACCGGACGGCTTGTGGATTCGAGGGAAGATCAATTGGTTGGAAAGACTGTGGAACACTTTGGAATGTCCTGGACCACTTTGAGGCAAGTCTTTTGCACAAGCAAAAAGGGCTGGCGAGAGAATCATGTAACGAACCATGAAATTTTAAAGAGGTAGCTTCATTTTGGCGTGGGCCAGGGGCATGGTTTTTGTTTTTCTGTGAGGAATGGCATCTACCATAGTGATGCAAGCTACGTACACTTTGGTGGTGGTTCCAAAAGTCTCCAGCTGTTGGTCTTGTATTCCAATCAACGAGACCAAGTCGGTGCCTGGACAAATGGAGGTGTGCTTGAAGAATGGGTTGATGCATGTTGACAGCATGGTTGCCATTGGAGCTCATGATGCGATCAAAAAGCCATGCGAGCGCACCTCCCAAAGTGCCTAATGAAAAGATCTCAGACCAAAAGCCACGGTGTATTGCCCAGTTTGTTTTGCTCATGAGCCTGGTGCAAGTGCACCGTTTCCAGCTGCACCCACTCAGCCATGTGCTGACTGAAGGGGTCACGTGATGGGAGTGACAGTGGCCATCATGGGACAACGGAACGACACGAAGCCTCGAGGGTTATGAGAAGGTTTGGTATAATGATAACGGTATATTGTATATAAATATATATATATATATTTATCAATATATTTAGATATTAAATATATTCATTGCATATTATTCTGCATTCATTGAGCTGATATTATTGTTGAGTGGGTTCTTTCTTCAAAGGCCTATGATGTGGATCTCCTTGAGCTGTGGGTGCTCTTTTTTCGGCCTGAGCCCTCATCATTGCCTGCAAGGCGAAGCCTTGATTGTGGTGTGAGGGGTTTCTAGAGGCTTTGGAGCAAGGTAGAATCGGATTGGATAAGATGCAGCAAACTGGAATCAGCGCTGAGTGTCTGACATTGAGAAAAGCAGGTATCCATGCTTGACCATAGTTGTTCGAATGGCTCCTTGGCCGTGATTCTGACTGTGAGCACACCCTGAGTGTGGTGCTTCAGTTCAAAAAAGTGAGTGCAGAAGCAACACCCCTGGGCCTTTCCGACCACTCGTGTGTCGGGGATCTCCTGTAACCTTTGCACTCTGGGCGCCGAGAAAGTCTTCCCCTTTTCTTTTTTTCGTTTATATTGCTTGGAAACTCTTGGAACAACCATTCCCGTTACTCCATGCCCCCACCCTCCGCCCTTCCGTTGGCAGCCAAGTAGCATTTGCGCCCTTTGTGTGGAAGTGGCGCGTCTGAGCGTAGAAACCAGCCATGGCAGGCGCAGCAGACGCTTGGCCTTCTTGTTTGCCGCTAAGTATTTGCTGTTGCTGTTGAATGAAGAATAATGTTCTGGGGATCTCCATTTTACATAGTTCTTCAGTATTCTTCCTTGAGCCACACTCATGATGTCAAATGTCTCAGGGGCACTCCATTTTTCAATGAATCAAAGTTCCAGCTGGTTGTTTCAAACCCCAGGCACAGCGTGGGCTTTCCACCGTTGAGGGTCTGCTGCCTGCGCATTTGAGGAGCTGCTCTATGGTTGCCACAGCGCTTTGGAGCTTTTCTTTGGATCTTTAATGGTTCTGCGCGGGCGAGGCTCCATGGACCCTGTCGAGGCCGGCGCCACGTTGGGTGAGGGGGTAATCCTGGATGACAGATCTGATAGAATGACAGAGGTAAAGTGGTAAGGTCTTTTCAGAGAGAACAAAGGACATCGGCAGGAATCACGAGAGGAGCAAAGACGCTAGTAGGGGCTCCTGGCATCGTTACTAGGAGCATTCTTGCTGCTAGTAACAAGAAGCTACGAACGGGGCTCCTAGCCATACTACTAGGAGCGATCGCACGCTACTAGGCACTGTCGTATTTCCAGTAAATGCCTTGTAAGCAGGAAGGTGATGTGACCCTGATGTGACCCGGTCGTATTTCCAGTCGCCTGATGTGACCAACGTTGATGACAGTATTTACTAAGCATGCCCTGCATACTTAAGCTTTCTTGGGTGAAGCACCAATTCAGGGGATTGATTTCATTCTTGGAGGGGCACAGGAACCATCTCGAGCCGCTTGAGCTAGTGTAACTGTTGCGACTTGTGGCAACAGGGGAGCACTGCACGTGCCCGGCTCTACCGGCGCTGGCACGGTTGTGGCTTGGTGGCCTTGAGCAGCCTGGGGATTTTGATCTTGCTGAAGGCTGGGGAGCTGTGCCACTGTGCTGCCAGGATCGAACCGACTGTGCTGCAGTTGGAGCATCACCCTGTGTCTTCGATGTTCATACATGACTTCAGAAGAATGTGTAGATATACAGTATTTGCATGTATATACAAAGATGGTAACCCCCTGGTACCCATGGTTTTGGGACATGAAGCACTTTGCATATCTACCAAGGGATAAGGTACCATACATGTATGCATATCGCGAAGTAGGTTCAACAACTGCAAATGTTGGGAGCATGCCTCTGTGTCAAATCAATGACCATGAGCATGAACATATCACATGATCACAAATCAAACCTGACAAAATCCTTTAAGGGAACAAGGGAACCAACAATGCAATCAAGGGACCACAGCCACTTGGGAAGAGGGGAGCAAAACACAACAAAAAAACACAGTTTTCGGACCTATGTGCTGGTCATTGGTCCCGGTCATTGGTTCGAGCCAAGATTCTGTCTTGCGAAGAACACCCTCAGGACGGCAAAATTGAGGGTTCTCCCGTTTTGACATTGCATCATGAAATGAAGCCGATTAATCATGACTAGCTCTCACCTGGGGAGTGTGGCATCCATTGCTTTTCACAATTAGAACTGCATTAGCTGGCGAGTTGGTTATGGCCTGTAAGCCTTTAGTCAATTTTCCAAAAGAGGTGATGTGAACATAGGGAACATAGAAGAAGGCTTATTGAAGCAGATCGTTGGTTGATTGGGGCCTGCAGCATCCTGCAATCCTGGCAGGGAAAAGTGCACGAAGAAGCCACGCTTCTGGGCAGAGGATGAGCTTGTGAAACGAAGGCTTACGTAACCACATGAAGAAGAGCGGTCGTTTGCCAGCACAACCCTCAACTCTCAACGAAGTCCAGAGCATAAGCAGCCCAGTACTATTCCGGCAGGCAAAGTGATTTGATTTGCGAGCCTAGTGACATGATGGGTCAATCAGTGAATGATTAACCCTAAAATCTCTCACCTGTGCTTGCACCCGTCCTCCCAAATGGGTTGAGTCAAACTTCTGCAACCACATGTTCAACGGATCCTGGGTGAGCTGACTCCCGGGCTCCCTCAACTGGCCGGCTGGTCCAGATAAGCCGAGAATGGCCGATAATAGTAGTGAATCACGACTTGGTGATACGATCTGATACGGATTCATACGCTTGAGATACTACACACTCCAAGGTCACCTCTCTAGTTATGAACATGCCACCCCCCGAATGTTCTTCAGGTGGGCCAAGTCCAATACCTCCATATGTCATATGTCTTTCTCAGCTCTCTGACCAACAAATACGATTGGCACTACTCAGGTCCTGCATTTCTGCCGCCCTCACCATCTTTCACGGCGGATGCGTGGCCGTCCACGCTTTGGCGGCCACCGAAAGCGCTGCAGCGCCCAAATCCCTGGGGGGCGTGGCCTGGAAGGACGGGAGCGATCCGAAAAGGGGACGTGCTAAGAACGAAAAGGTGAAGATGAGGTAAGGGGTGTAGTCTCACTTATGTCTTGAAAGGGAGCCTTCTGAACGCAGATCATCGACCATATTCATTGCGATCGATGGTGTTTGATGCTGCTTTTTGATGGTTTGTTTCTTGAAGTTCGTCTATCTGACGGGGATTCAAATCGAGCAATGCGCGGTGAATTTGAGGATGTATCGAGCGCTTGGTGGAGACCGTTAAGTTGATGAGAAATTCAGACGTTCATTGAGATGTTGCGTAACATATCGGCTTTGCATCATTAAAGTGTGGGGCCTGCCAAAGTTTAGCCTATTTGGACATGAATCGATTGATGGACCAATGAAAACACCTCTGTGACCCAGTCTCCTGTTCTCATGCAGGAAGCCGCGCTCTCCCCGCATATTCCTTTGACCATTGGCTTTGCTGCTCACGCGGCAGGGATGTTGCCTTGAGATAGCAGCAGTTAAGCAGGGTGGGCCGCGCAAGGGTTCCACAATCAGAAAAACCAAACCATCTCTTTTACATGGTTTTGAGCCCTGGCTTGTTGGGGTCCCATCTTGGTGTATGAGTTTCTGCAGAACATGCTGCAGCAGATCTCGGCCGAAAGGCTTCGGGACCGATCTTGCCCTACAGAAGGATCACTTCCACCTACGGAAGGATCGCTTGGTCCAAAGAGACCAACAAGAATCTGGGTGGGGCTGTCGCCTCACTGTCGCCTCACGATAGAATCGTTTTCCTTCACCAAAAAGCATCTGTCACAGCGCTTGGGAATGGAGGCATCCTGGAAGTCCTGGTGACTGTATCTACGAAAAGTCCTTGGGCATCTTGGGCAACCCAGTGTACCCTTTGAAGGGTGTCATAGGGTACCCTAGGAAACGCCAGTGTGCTTTTGTGATGTCCTTTTCTACGAACCAAGGATTTACAGGCGGTCAATAAACACTGTCATAACTTACAGGAAGTGACTCCTGGATATCAACAGATCACATCCCACGACTGCAGGGACTGGATGGTTTGCGTGAGTGGAACTCTAGGGACGCTCCATTGATGCAGCCATGCTGCTGAAGATCTCTGGCTCGAAGCCTTGAGTTCGACAATAGACACCCCATGATTACACACCCTGTTCCTGCCGTTGCAGTCACGTTCATGCAGATTCATTAAGTCATGGCAGTGCCTTCCACTCTTTGACAGGACTCTATGGCTCTTAAACCGTGTTGCTATGTGATGCCCCCATCGCGCGTTCGACTATGCGCAAACCGTGCAAATCCCCCACATGTGAGGGATCACCCAGAGGAAAGCAAAAGACTGACGGACCAAAATGAGATCCCCCTGCCTGCGAAAGCAGCTTTTCCCAGAAGCACAGCGACAGCTGCTGTTGCTTTCCGGAAATTCAAAGCTGACTGATCCAAGCTGCAAAACTCAACCTCTGTTTCTAAAGAGGACACCAGGTGCTACCCTGTGTGTTGTCCTTTCTATTCAAGGGAGTCAACATTTCACAACTTAGCGTTGAATCGTCTCGACGGCTCTCACACCACCGAACCAATACGGGCTGGCCCTGCCGCAGGCCAGGGGGTTCTCGTGACGTTCACGAACGGGTCTTTGAACAGGTTTCGCTCGGCGAGCCACAGGGTCGAAGAGCTTGGGTGACTGGGTGGATTGAACATATTCTTTTTTGCTGGGTTCAAGGGAACTTGAATGCGCTCACCATGGGACAAAAGGTAGAATAGAAGAGAAGCAGGGCATACAAAGTTGACACATTTTGAAAGGCATTCAGATTCGCTTTTCTATGGATTTGTGGGAGTGGGGGCCCACAACTTACAACATGTGTAGCAATGTTAATAAGTGGCTGCTGGCTGGGTTCCTCTTTTCACCCCTTTTCCTGCAGCCTTGCCGGTCGCCACATCCGCAGCTTCGCAGCAGCTTCGCCTGTGGAGGTCCGCTATGGAGATTGGTGCAGAGTTCCAGGTGTGGTGGGGAGGAGGTCAGAAGCAGGTGGTGCGTGAAGACACCACGGTGGGGTACTGTTGTTTGCTCTTCTGGATTTGGTACCCTTGTGGTTATTCAAGTCTCTTAGCTGTTTTCACGTGTGATCCTCGACATCCCGCCGCAATCTGGATACTGGGCGTCAACAGACCTCAACTGACCTTGGCCAGAAAGCTCTGTCTCGACAATAAGGGCAACATATGGCAACATCTATTACTACTGTATCATTATATTGGTATGGTTCTCCTGGTGAAGGAAGCACTCCTGCACCAGGAGGGATCTCCCACAGCCACCAGGGGTTTCATTTCAGCTGGAAAAACTAGGGCGTAGGACCTCCAAATACTTCCAAGTAGAATGAATAGATCTTGACGGTCGTTGCAGCTCATGTCAATGTGTTGCGCTACTTGGCATGTCGCTTCCAGTCAACGACTCAGGATGGCCAGGAAGGGACCGAGCCTACGGGGCGTAGACTCCCAGAGGCCGCAGGACACCGACCGATCCATCTCTGAAGCAATTGTTGAAAAGGGGGATTGGGGAGAGGCAAGGCTAGGAAACCTGTTTTTTTTTGACACATGCGGTTCTTTTTTGACAGAATCTTGATGTCTTCAGCATCTTAATTTCTCCTTGTTTTTCAAAAACACATATTGCTGGTGTTGTGATTGGATTCCTTCCTTCTCCCCTGGTCTCGCAAAATGGCACGGTGTCATTAAATTTATCCAGAGATGAATGAAACATGAGATCAGTTTGACTTCGAACAGTTGGCCATGGGGATGCGAACGCCATGGAACTCAACAAACGGATGAACCTTTGTGAATGTCCAAAACGACAGTCGGCAAGGTCTCTGGCCCCAAGCTGCAAGGGAACTGTAACAGATCTATTTAACTTATTTTAACTTCCTGAGACTCTCAAGATACTTTTGGGTTGTCTACGTCACATGGCAGTTTAGGAGTGTTCCGGAGGGTTGATTCTTGCATAAACAGACATGAACACCTATGGGATGTGGGTGTGGAACGTGGTTTCCCGTATCACATGTCATCGCAGATGTCATCATGTGTTGCCGATAGACTCTATCCAATAGACGCAATTCCAGACCTGGACCGCACCGTGGTCCGCATGGAATCCCAGGGTGGGCAATCCAACCTTTGTGGAAGTCCCAGTCGCTGGAGCAAATCATCAATATGGGGTCTGATGGACTAGCTGCTTTTTTTTGAGCTCCCGGTTCACAACAAGAGGGGAAGCAGATTAGATTGGAAAGTCATCAAGGTGAACGGAGGGTTTGACCACCCTTTGCAGCTTTTCTCTTTTTTCTTGGCCTGGCTGCCAGGGCGAGGCTTTTCTTGACAGAAAAACATGTGAAAGAACTGTTGAATCGGTTTTGTGTAACATCATCCATTCAGCTTGCTCTTTAATTGACTGTCAGCCCTAAGCTGCCCAGGATCACGCTCACAACGCACACCACTGGACCTTGGCGCAGAGGTGCGGGCGGCCCTCTAAGGTGTGTGAGTGAAGCCATGCAATGAGGGCGTAGGTAGTTGGTTGATGACCCCTGATAAGTGGTTTTGGTATGTTTTGGTACTTTGGTGGTGTATTTACTGTACATTTAGTTATTACACAGGCGATTCGTTGTTTGTAGTCACGACTCTAGAAGGCTGACTAAGGGACGATGAAGACAAGGTCAGGGTAACATGTGTTTGGGGTAGTTAGTAGTTGGGTTTGTTAAACAAAGGGACCCCACCTGCAACTTCAGATGAATTCTTTTTTTCTATGGGAGTACGCAAAATGAGATGATGGGAGTCCTGCATTTCATTTGCAGACCCAACAAGACGACCGCGCTTTGTTCTGAATGAGTCAGTTCAGCTCTTGCCACAGGCTGGAGCCTCTTGCAAACAGACCACAGCAGAATTTACAGGGCTTAATGACTCTACACTGTGCTGCTGACAAGGGACACCTGTAAGTTGTGGGCTTATTGTTGCGGGCTGGAGCCTTTCCAGATCCAATGACTGAAGACGATGGTTTGACCCCTTTGCACTCTGCAGCCAGAGCTGCATCAAGCGACAACTGACTGCTGCATCAAGCTCCATCGGACTGGTGGCTCCAGGCTGTTCGGCTTGGAGCATCGGACGTGCTGAAAGCTACAGGGATCACATGGGATCACTGAAAGCACTGGGCTCAAGACGGCCACCGCGAAGTGCTCCGTAAGTTGTGTCCCATCGTGACCGCTGAGTGGGTCCAATCGTGGGAAGATGCAGGAAAGCATTTCTCTAGATGAGGGACGCCTGCTTTGAGATAGTTTGTGCTGTGTGGGTATGTTGAAGAACAAACTTGTAAATCTCTGCACTTTCCTTGTAAAGCTCGGTGTAGGGTGAGTTCTTGCCAGTGTTGGATCCAGCAGACTCCTCTACTTGTTCCATTGGGGCTCCACCGCCTCCCCCTGAGAAAAGCAGCACATCATGGGATGGCTCTACAGCCTCCAAGTGACGACTCGTCTCCTTCGAGCCAGGTGCGAAGCTCCGCGCGGGAGCTGCAGGACGTTGAACGAACATCGCGTGGTGCGGGCTTGGGTGCCATGTAGCACCATCTATATACTCAGGTTGGTACAGTAGGTGTTAGAGACGAAAGCCCTTGCAGCTTCGAAAGAGAATGAGAAAAACCTATAGAATCTTGGAGTGGTGCAATAAAGCTTGCTTAAACACTTTTTCGTTTAGCCTCGAGTGTCTCTCACTAGTTACTGAAGGAGGCCAACTGACCAAAACATATGGAGTAGCTCCACTACTGCTACTTTCACCCAACCCATCAAGTGCCATGAAACATCCACGCTCTTCTAGGACCGGCTTGGTGGCAGTTGCTCAGCTGCAGGTGGATTTGTTGATAAGGCAGCCCCCAAGTGTTCAGGTTGATGACTCCCATTTCAATTTTGTTATGTTGTACGGTGTAATTCCCAGCATTCCCTTGGGGCTAGGTGATCAGGGGGTCAAGGGTGTTGGTTGGATTGAGTATGGACCGTGGTTGACCTGGACCTTGCTTGCCAAGGTCAAGCCTTCTGGAAGACGTGCACACACAGCATTCCAACATGTTTTGGCAGCTAACGTGGGCAGTATGAAGCCTTTGGCCAACTGTTTGACCCTTGTTGATCCAAGAAATTAAAGACTCAATAATGGCTATATATTCAATATAATCTAGTTGTAAGGGCAAATGGTCCAAAGCGAGGGAGATGGCACCTTTGTTGATTTTTGCTTCTGACCCCAGGCACTCTCCTCCCGCCTGGGTCAGTGCCGCGAATGACGTTTTTGAGTTGCAAGCGATGTGAAACAAAACAGCCTCTGGCAGGTCAAAAGAACAAGTGATGGCAGTCGACATCCAATGACTCCAACCCGGATCTGATTGCGGTTTAATGTGTAAACCCAAACCTATCATGTACTTCTCACTGAGACCCAATGAACATCAATGAACCAACCACTGGATTCACCACCAATGCATCCCAGTCAGCGATCCGTCCCCAGGTGGGCGATCGCTGGGATGGCTGGAGGATGAGGCGACGTCCCAAGCATCGGACGGGGCCGGCTCCGCCCCGTTCGAGTCGTTGGACCCGATGTTTGAGTCGTACCGTGGGTGAATGCAACCCATTTGGTGCCAAAGCACGCATGGCAGCTGAATGTTAGGGAGCTTGCTGGGCTGGTCGATGTTCGATTTCCTGGCATGCGCGGGTCCTTTCTCTCTTTCTTGGAGGGTGTCTCTGGAGGTTGCATTTTAAACATCCTGCACGCATTCAGTTCCATGTCCATCCATTTCCTGCCAAAACCTGGTCTGCTTTTAAAGAAGTTGATAAGTTGATTTCCAAAAAATATTGCATAGGTGCTGACAGACAGGCAAAGCCTCGTTACTCCAATCCAGTCCAGTCCAGTCCACTCCACCACACTCCACCATTCCCAATTCAATTGGGTCACATCTCTCAAATATCTTTTCAAAGACCCCACCAGTCAGGACCTTATAATAATAACAATCACTTTGGAGCTTGGACTCCACCCCACTCCATTCCACTCCATCCACTTCAACCGCAGGTGACAACCTCTGGAGGTACCCACAGAGCCACTGATCCGGAAAAAAAAATATTTGGTGCTTTTAAGGAAAGCTGTGATCTACCAGGTTGCGACGGTCGCAGTCTGGTAGAACCATCGCTAGCGGTAGTGAGACGCACAGCGGGGTCATGATTTCACTGGACCTGGTTCAAAAGACTGTCCTTCGCAACAAGTGACTGCGACCGTCGCTACTTTGAGGGTGCTCCAGCGAAATCAAAATCCCACTAGAGCAATCGCTAGCGGTAGTGATGGTTGTACAGGCTTGCGACGCTCGCCACTTGGTAGATCACAGTTTTCCTTAAACACATCAAATATTTTTCTGATTGCCGGGCCCAAGTGATGCTGTGCGTCGTGACTACTTGATATTTATCTGTTTCCAACAGCCACAGACCATCCAAGATGGTGTTCACCTCAGGGTTCCAGCTATTAAATCTGACTCTTTGCAAATGAGGCCATTGCTATTAGGATCGAGGCTTCTGAATAACAACTTAAAACTTATCAACTTCAACCTTATTAGTGGTGAAGTGGAGTAACGAGGGTTTGCCTGTCTGTCAGCAAAGTCAGCACCTATGCAATATTTTTTGGAAATCAACTTATCAACTTCTTTAAAAGCAGACCAGAAACACATTGGATCTTTAGACTCCTTTTGACCTCCAGACCACAAACCCATGCTGAGTCGAGTCTGCTTCTCTCCCAGGCGCCAGCGCGATGGAGCCGATCCTTCATCTCACCCAAGGCCGAAAGAAAAATGTCCAGATGTCCAGATGTGAGTTTGGTTTCGACTCTGGAGTTCCCTCAAAGTCCACTTGCCACTGGTTGCCACTGGGGCTAGGGTTGGACACGCCATGCGAAAGTCACATATTCGACAGTGTCCAGATCATGAGCCCGGGTCTGATTCTGGTTGGGCTTTTGCACTTCCAAAGCGATCCCTGTACAATGCAGGTGAAGGACACTTGCTTTTGCTCCCACCCTAAAAAAGCAGTTCCGCGGATAATCAGGTTTTCGTTCAGGTAGCAGAAATGATTTGTAGTGTGGAGAATCATTCAAACTCCAATCAAGATATGGGAGGCCCAGGTCGACCAAGACTCTTTGAATGCACTTGTATGATACTTTCTTGGAGGGTTGCAAACGCAGTTAAACACATACACTTCGAGGGAAACTGCGCGAAAGACCATGGGCGGGTGCTAGCTAGCGTCCCTCTATAACCAGATGCCCTCGTGTGCGTGTCCAAGGCCGCCTCAGAGCATTTGCCGAGGCGAACACGGATGGACATCAAGCGAGCATGGACAGGATGGCCTCACAGTCATGAAGCCCAAACATCACCGGTTGGATGGTTTGAAACGTGTGAACATCAATCAAGTCACAGCTTCAAACTCCATCAATCTATCGCAGGCGTTGGGGACTTCGGGATTGGAGTGTCACGCCCGTATCGCAGGCGTTCTCAGAATCAACGGGTAGATCCACCTTTGCTTGAGTTTTGCTTCTCACTCACTGAGAGGCCCGGGCCGTTGGCCCGTGCAAGCAGCTTTTACGGGTCACCCACAAAGTCAACATCCATGCGGAGTTTAATACCGCTTGACAAACCTCTGGTCAATTCCTTCAGAATGAACTGACGAGGTGTGCCCACATGACCCGCTCCACCTTTGTTGTGTCCCCACCCCTGCAGCTGATGGCTGCTGGAGGGGGATGCAAGTTGAGATGTACAGAGGTGGAGATGTGCAGAAGTGTTCCTTTTCATGCCAGGACATGTCACACATGCAGAGCTGATGTAAAGTACCGTGATGGACCACATGTTGCACAGCACCATACTGCTCATTGTAGAGATTTGTAGACATTGTACACATTGTCGACACTATATTAATCAATATATAGTGTTTTATTTTTTCAGGTGTTTTTTTCAAGGCGTGACAAGGGAGCCTTGCTCCAAAGCCATGAGACTCGTGAGACATGATTACCTTTTGGGGTTTAGTCTTCATCTACGGGATGATCACCTTAGAGCCGGGCGATGTGCCTTGCTACATGCTCTTGGAACAGGTGCAGGCCAGGTGCTGGGCTGGTGGGCAAATGCAGTCAATCGGGCCTGGGGGCGCCTGACTAAACGGTGGAAACTTGCTTTTTCAAGATCTTTGCGGGAAGGATTCCAAACCGGAGAGATCCTTACATGCGCCATTCCCTGATCAGTGTCCATTGGTGGGAAGCAGATCCCGTCCACCATCATGAGACACACACCCCACCTGTGTGTTGACGTCCCTATCCCCACACACTCGCTTTGCACCCACACAGCTAAGCTATACAGCAAGGGGCATGTTTGAAGCGTTTGCGGAGCGCTGTACGTTTCGCAAGTCGTCAGACACCGTCGCCAGGTGCCCCGGGTCATCGGGAAAGCCGGCGCCATCATCAAGGAGCTGCGTCAGGAGCTGCGTTCATGGTGAAAGAGTGGGTTAATGTAAAGAGGTTTAAACTTAAACTTTCAACGGGTCAGACTCGGTGCCAGGGCTGCATTCTTTGCTTTCGGACCGGTTTGGACGACCTAACATCATCCAAAAACATGGTTTGCTGGTGGATGGAACAGACCCACATAGTGGAGGAGTTCGTGAGCAAAACTTGCACCACTTGTCCCTTTGGTCGTGGTATCTCTTGATGTAATTTGGTATGCAGTTGGTTTGGGTGGACACCTTGCTGATTTTGTTGTTTGCTCTAACCATGGAGTGCTTCTGCACTTCGCCCTACTGACCACAAAATCTGGCCGGCAAGCAGGAGATTTGTTTTGCCAGAGTCCTTGAATTAATTCCATGGCCACATTCAAAGGATGGATCATGCTCAAGGACAAGGCACTGATTAGGTAATAAACACTGAATCGGATGACTTCCATCATTCCAGGTTGCGCGGGATTTGGTCTATCAACTGGATGAGTGCAGGCAGACGATTCCCCAGGGTTGTCGGGCCAGGAGAGCGGCGCTGTGGTGCAGATCTTTGACAAACAACTCCCAGAGGACTGGAATTGGTTTGGACAGCAAGGAAACACAAAGAAACCAGTGATTTGGAGGGATTTGTGGTGTTTGCGTGTGTTTGCAATTCCACCAGCAATTTACAATCACCAATAGTTCCTCCACCACAACACCAGCAACACCTTCCCCCTCCAACCAAGCCTCTCCACCAAGTATTTTATATAGATTCGATATGATTCGATCACGAGACAAAGACGAGCAACTTTTTTCACCTCTTTCAAACCGCGGAGAAAGCTCCAAGCTCTCCGAAAAACAATCCTTTCTCTTCATGTGAACCTTTTTGTTGAGTTAAAGCGAAGTCACAGGCCTCAGTCCATCCGATTTGGCTTGGTCCAACTCGTCCAACCTGCTGGAGGCGCTGCAGCGGCTTCAAAGCCAAGTCGCCTTCGCCAAGGCCTCGTCCACTGCAGCGCTGCGCAGCGCCGTGGAGGGCCTCGTGCGGAATGCCGTGGGGCCGAGCGCGCTGAAGAGCTTGGGCGCCGAGGGGCAGGACGTGGCGCCCCTTGGAATGCTGTGATTCGGGCGGATTCTAAGTGGGTGGATGCTCCAAAAAGCGGAGAGCTTCAGAAATGAATCGAAGGACGGCATGGTGACATGATTTTTGTTCAGTTTTCTATTTTTGGCCACCCTGAGCTTGTCAGGGTGCCCTAGTTTCTGGACATTTCCATGTGGAGGAACTGATTGATTGGAATTTCGTAATTTCGGTCTTATTTGGGGGGCCGTAAGTCTAAACTAAACAGGAGAGTTTGAAGTTTAAGCTGTTTGAGGCTGCCAATTCAGTTGTTGGAAGGTTTGCCGTTTGCCGTGTGGGGTTTGCTTTTGTGCAAGGACAAGGACTAGTTTGCAAGTCTAAGTTTTGTTGGCCAGCATGACCCTGTTGTGTTAGTGTATTCTGATTGTGTGGTCTCTGGGCTGTTGCACGCTTCCACTTGTTAAACCATCTGACTTGAGAAGTTGAATCGAATGAAATCTGAAAAAGTTATATATATATATTATATGAGAACATGTTCGGTTGCTTGCACCCATGATTCCATGCATCATAATGGTCACAACGATGACCTGGCGGCTGGTGGTCCTGCAGACGCTACAGTACAGGTCACTCTTGATTTGGGACAGACTCTTAGGGGTCCCCTGCTTTCATGCTTGACAATTTGGAGCAGTCACTGACTTGTTGTATGTGGCGCGGTTTGCGTCAAGCATTCCGTGACCTGTTGAGACGTTCACTTTCACCATCCCACCCCTTTGCAGAGCAAAAGGCTCCGCTGGTGAACCGATTGGCTCCGCTCGTCGTCGCACCGACTCCTTGAACCGGCGGAGCGAGGTTTTTGGTGCCAGCGAAGTGCGAGAGCTACCTGGGCGACGAGCAGCTGCTCTCGGAGCTGGGGAAACCGGAGGGCGTTTCTGGACGAAATTCGAGACGTGTTGGTGGCGATCTTCAGTGCGTCGCACCAGAAAGTCAATCCTTCAATCCAATTCAATCCACGGTCTGCCAACTTCAGAATAATTGTATACAAGTGATATGCCGGTGTTTCTAGCTCATTTTGCTAGATTCCAGGAAGGACTCTTTGACTTAAGTAGAGGCTGTTTGAGGCTTACTTTAGGTATTAGTGTACGTAAGCTTGTCTAATCCGGTCCTCTTAAGGATTGTTAAAGCGAAGAAATCTGGCTCTCAGGCCGGATGTAAGGCCTTTGATATTCAACCCAGTCCAACACGCGGCCAGATCCTCGTACGTACTGTATATAGTTTGATGCAATGTCGCAGCTTTCAGCCAGTAGAACATGGTGCTGCAGATTGGCAAGTCTGTGTTGACTGAACTTCAGGGGCAATCTGCTAGCTGCTGGCTGACCTCCTTTGGTGGAGAGTGCGCTGTTTTACAAGTGCGCATGGCAAGTGCCATTCGTAGGCACTTTCTCGTGCAAGATGTGCACCAACCTTTGCAAGTTGCATTGAAGCCCAACATGTCCAACTGGTCCAACTGGTAATTACATGACTTGTATTGTCATCATCACAAGGTCATACAGTAGCTGTTTTGCTTCCAAGGGGCCTTCTTCTCTTCGGAAACATAGGACAGGAAACACTGCAAGTTTCTGATGTCCAAAAACAGCGATCTGATCTCCCTCGATCTTCCGAGCCTTTCGCACAGCGACTTCCGAACCCTCCGGGCCCTCCGCGGAGGAGACCAAGTGTCACATGGACGTGGAAGCGTTGGACGGTTTGCGGAAGCAGCGCCGGGTGACGCTGAGGGCGGAGGAGACCAAGGATTTGCAGTTGGTGGCCTGGCGGCTGCAGGAGACAGCCACCCGTGGCCCTGGGTGCAAACATGATCCACGGGTGCAGTTCTTGAGCCCCACCAGAACAGAGAAGAAGCGAATTAAAAAGGACAATTCAGCAAATTAAGATTGGTATTATCAAAAAGTGTAGCAGGATACAAATACACTAGGTATAGGATGCCCATCAACCCAAATCGCCATTTGTGAGAGGTCTTGGGCTGGTCGCCTGGAAATGGGAAAACCGCACTCACAGAAGTGGGAAAAAAGCAAAACAACAACAACAACAACAACAACATACTAAAACAACACTATGTTTCACATGTCTGGCACTCCCCACCCCACACCCCAGACTTCTGAACACGTATAATATTGTTTTTGTATTATTTTTCTTTATGGTTGTTTGTTGGCATGTTTGGCATATGGTCCATCCCGTGTGGACAAAATGTTGACCACCGCATTCTTTTTTTGACCCCGCACTCGCAAGGAGCCTAAACAACACAGAATCTAACATGAGCTAGCTAGGGTAATCCACACCCACCAGGATTCTATTCCAAAAGTGATGTTTTTGTTGCCGGAGCCATTGATCAACCCATAGACTCCATAGGAACAGGACTCCGCCACGATTGAACGGAGGAGCTCCTATTGCGCATGAGCCATGCTGCCATTCTGAGCGATCGGGACTTTGACCTGCAGGACGTGTTGAAGGTGGTGAGGTCATTGGGATTCATAAAATTGGCACAAATCCCTTGGGCTGCGGGGGAAAGACTTGACAGTCTTGAAACTTCAAGAACAACAGCTGTTGATTTGGTAATGTATATATAGTTTGAGCACAGGGCACTACTGTTGAAGAGCAAACCCCCACTATTGGAAGGAAATCGAACTATCCGACTATCCAGTGGCCCACTGACCTTTCTGACTTCAGAGGGATTGCAGGATTCCTACCAGATGACTATCCACAGAGAGCTGGGCCCGATGG